GTAGATTGCCCAGTCTTCCCTCCATGTAGTAACTGGTGCGTTTGAACCACTACCCTTTTGGTTAGCAGCCAGATGCCTTAGACACTGTGATACCAGAGTTACTTAAAGCATAGATCAGCCAAATATAGCCATTCACAGATTCATAAGCAATAATATATATATATATATATATATTGTTTTAAACCACTGAGGGAGATCATTGTCATGTAGCAATAGCTAACTGATACACATCTTATTTCTCCCTTGATTTTATACAACTACATCATATCTCCATTATAGCCCCTATAACAATAACATGTTTCTTTTTCTTCTACCAATATGTGAGTTCCTTGAGAACAGGGGCAATTTTTGTTTCTTCATCACCAGATCAAATCAGTGCCTGAAATAAATGTGTATCAGAAAAATAATCAATGATTAATAGGTTAATTAATGACTAGGTTGATGTCCAAGGGATGGTTTTAGTGGCAGACAAACCAAAGTTTGAATCCCAAGTCTTCTACTTCTGATGTGTAACTTCAGAGAATATGGTTAACCTTCGTAAGCCTTATTTGCTCATTTACAAATTGAAGACTAGAATAATGCAGCAGGATTGTGATGGCAAATTATATACACACACATACATATATATATACATATCTATATATATACATATAAATATGTATACACACATACACACACACAAAGAGAGAGAGAGAGAGAGAGAAAATACCATGGATTGCCAGAATAATAAATCTATCCTGGAAGAAGTATAGCTAGAATGCTCCTTAGAAGTGAGAATGGCCAGACTTTGTCTCACCTACGTTGCTCATGTTGTCAGAAGGGACTGATCCCTGGACAAGGATATAATGTTTGGTTGAGAACAGGGTCAGTGAGAACAATGGATTGACATAGTGGCTGCAATTATGGGCTCAAACATAGCAGGGATTGTGAGGATGGCACAGGACCAGGCAGTGTTTCATTCTGTTGTACATGGGATCGCTATGAATTGGAGCCAACTTGACAGTACCTAACAACAACACATGCACATACACATTGTCATACTGCACTGCACAAATCTGCTGCAAAAGACCTCAAAATATTGAAGAGCCAAAATGTCACTCTGAAGACTAAGGTGCGCCTAACCCAAGCCATGATATTTTCAATCACCTGATATACACGTGAAAGTAGGACAATGAACAAGGGAGACCAAAGAAGAGTTGATGTTTTTGAATTGTGTTGGCAAATAATACTGAAAATACCATGGACTGCAAGAAGAATGAACAAACCTGTCCTTGAAGAAGTGCAATTGGAATGCTCCTTGGAGGTGAGAATGGCCCAACTTCAACTCTCCTACTTTGGTTATGTTGTCAGAAGGGACCATTTCCTGGAGAAGGGTATCATGCTTGGTAAAGTGGAGGGTCAACAAGGTGGATTGTCACAGTGGCTGCAACGATGGGCTCAAGTGTAGCACAGATTGTAAAGATGGCACATGACCAGGCAGTGTTTTGTTCTGTTGTATATAGGGTTACTATGAGTTGGAGGCAAGTCAATAGCACCTAACAACAACATACAAATTGTGGCCCTATAGTTTGCTTCTGATCTAAAACACTATTACTCTTTCTGTTTTATTTTCTCTTTATTGTTTTGGACTCTTCTCCTGGGCATTTTAATTTTGATCTGAAAATCTTGTCTTTTTAGTGATATCTTCAATTCATCAAAGAGCTGTAACCAGTCTGAAGGATGACAAGACCAATTGCAGAATATGGTGCATCATCTTCAGGCCTTCTTGGAGTTCACCACTGCTCAATTCTTCCTGTGTATAAGAATAAAGTTAAGTTGCAGTTGTGGTGTAGCTTTGTGCTTATCTTGAAGGATTTTTGACCATGACAAAGTTGAAATGTACTAACTAATTATTTATAATGTGTTCCTTAAAGTCTGAAACTTCCAGGAGACATCTTATACCAGCTTGTCTATGCTGTTTATTAAAAGAGCTTAGACTGATGGTTTGCGCCAGTTCACAAAGCCTGGTTTTTGCTAAATGAGCTGTGGGATGTAAATCACCCTTTAGTAAGCTTGTACCTTGTCTTCCTTCAGACCAAGTTATCTTATATGCACCTTGGTGGCTGATGACCAAAAGACAAAGAGCATCCTTGCAATAGAAAAAGGTCTCTGGTACCGTTGCTGGACGTTGCAGGCCTCTCTGACGTTTGCTGGGCTTTCTTTGTGCTGCTTCACCATGTTCTTTGCCTAACCCTGTGGAATCTCATAAATCCTTTAAATTATCCAGGACTGTACAATTGCTGTACTGAGGCTGGTTTTTTTGTTTGTTTGTTTTTTGGAGGGGTCTGGAGTGAAGGAAGGAATGGTTCATACAACGCCCATATTTAGAACAATATCAGCAAGTTGAGTACATTAGAAGGCAGAGTTCTGCACTTTGTTGAGCTATTTAAAGATTGCTCAGCTGAGTTATCATGAATAATATTTGTGGATATGGTTTTGGGATTGGTCCATACTCCCATCATTGGCTGCTGGTTCTTGTAATCTTTGACCTACCTTCCCAGGTCATCACAGACATTCCTCATTCTTCCAGCCCTCCCCTGTATCTCTGCACAATGGTACACTGTCCAAGGCATGAAGCCTTTGTTGTGCAGAGCTTTCGTTTCTCTAGGAAACATTGCTTATGTCCATACATTCTCATATTTTTTTCAAACACCTATTTTAAACTGTATTTTAGTTTTTTCTTCAATGTTCCATCCAAGAATAATCTAGTTTAAAAATTTTAGTTTGGAAATCATACTTGACTGACCTAAACCACTAGTCCTCTAAAAACTCATATGTTTCTTATCTAGGAAGGGACCATTAATACAGGCTTCTTCTCTGTGGTTTAGGTAACAATGTTGTTAGAAGTCAGGAACCACTCAGGAAGCAGGAAAGGAGTTGTAAAAGACTCAGATTACTGAGTGTTACAAAATAACTTACTTATCACATGAAATTCCACAGCATAATTTTCTTTCTTTTCTTTTTTCAAGGTTTAAATAGATTTTATTGTTACAGGCAGGGGTCCGACCAAGCAGGGCCTTATAAGGCAATATATGTGGTCCAAGGATGTCACCATGGAGATATTGAGAGATAATGATTTTATCAAAACTAAAGGATATGATCCAGGGAGGGAGAGCCAGGAAACAAGACATGATTAGATGGGCCAGGGGTGGTCAGAGTACAGGGTGAGGGAAAGGACTACCCTCTTAATTCCTGCTTGTTATAGCTCTCCAGGTGTGGCAGAACCCAGCCCCATGGCATGAGGAAAGAGGAAACACAGGAAACAGGAAGTAAGTCCAATGACATAATCCATGGTCCTGAGCAGCTCCGCAGAGGCTTAGCATACACCTGGGCATGCTGCATGAGGCCTCCCCAGATGGCATCTTCTCAGGCCCCTGAGCAGCAATGGCACCAGTGCAGACAATCTGACACTAGCCCCCACTAAGTTTCAGAATCAGCCCCTAAACATACACATTATAGACAGCTTTTTGAAACACTGGAATAAATTATAATTTAAATACCCCATTGTAGTAGTCAATTGTGACTAATGGCCACCCCATGTGTTGCAAACTAGAACTATGATCTACAGGGTTTTTGGCTGTAACCTTTACAGAAACAGATTTCTACCCGGCACAGTGCCTAAGGCATTTAACTGCTAATTGAAAGGTTGGAGATTCAAACCCACCATCACTCTGTGAAAGGAAGACATAGGAATCTACTTCTGCAAAGATTTGCCATCTCAGAAGCCTAATGGAGGTCTCTATGATTTGGAATCAACTCGATGGCAGGGGGTTTTTTGTTTGTGTTTGGTTATTCTGAGGTACTTCTTAGTAGGTTCGAACCACCAACCTTTAGATTAGGAAAAACTCAAAAGGAAATGTAAACCATTTATACCACTCCAGGAGCTTACAATTTGACTACTGCATATTAAAAAAAAAAAAAAAAAAAAGAACAGTGCATCCTGTATATATGGGAATAGACTTATATTTGAGTATTCATTGAGATTAGTGGTGGTCCTCTAGTTTAATCTAGCTGAAATGGATTCAAAATATACTTCAAATCCATCCACTTCTTGCCAGCTCACCATCATCTCTCACAGGGTGACAGCACTCTTTTCCTACCAGTTAGTTATAATAAAGCAGAATGCTAACAACTCTCCAATGGTTCCCCTTTTCATAGAGTAAAATCAAGAGTTTTCCGTGCCTAAAAAGCTCTCCAATGTCATCTCCTACAACAACAGGTGTCTTCAGATCTCCAAACAATACAGACTTGCTTTCTGAGACTTGAGCATATTGATGTAGATCCTGCTTCAGGCTATGTAGAAGGCCCTATCTTCAGAATCTTACTCAGCCGGCTCCTTTCCCCCATTCCATCATTTCCATCTCAGTTCAAATGTCTCTGAGTGGTCTGCTGTGCCACCCAAAAAAAGTAGTCCTTCGATCATCCCATATCATACTAACCTGTTGACCACATTCATACAGGTCCCTGGATGGCACAAATGGTTTATACTAGCTAGGCTGGTAAGAAAAACGTTCAAACGCACCCACCCAGCAGCACTGTGAACAAAAAGGCCTGGTGGTCTCTTCTGATAGAGATTACAACCAAGAAAACCTTATGGAGCAGTTTTATTCTGCAACACATGGGGTGACCAGGATCGGAACTGATTCCATGTCACCAGACAACAAAAGCAACAACGACATTAACAGACATTACCAACACCTGTCAATTCCCTTTTTACTTACTTACTTACTTATACCCTCCCATTAGAATGTCAACACATTCAAGGGTATGATCTTGTCTTTTTGTTGCTGTTGTTGTTGTTGTTGATCCTCAGATCTCTAGTGCCTAGGAGAGTATGCAGGCACATAGACATCACCTAATGAATATTTGTTCAATAAAGAAAACTTCTCTGTTTTTTAGTATGCATTTAAATTTAAGTAAAACTTAAAAGGGCAAAACCAGAATTTAATTTATTCCCCTACCTTTTTCTGATGCTGTGGAGGAATTAAAGATGCCAGAGAAGTGTGACTATTTCTGTCCTGCAACTTCTCCCTGGAGTTCTTCAGTTTCCTTCATTTTCCTCAGTGTTCATTTTGGCAAGGGGTGGAAACATTTCACCACAGTGTATTTCTGTAACAAAATGGTACCAACATGACTCAGAACCCCTCTGACTTTACACTCTGTTTAAAAATAAAATATACAACCTCATTTACTTCACATTCTCCTACATGCTGTACATCATTTCTTTACTGTTTCTATCATTTTCTTAGGCATGCAGCTACTGCTTGGTATATTATTACCTAGATGTCCCAGGCAGTGTTAGTCCCTGCATCTGTGCCATAGGACTTCTTAAACTCTATGAAATCATTCCATTCTGATTTTCCCAATAAACGGTGAGCCACGTGGGGCAGGAACTACAACTTTGGTCCCTGCATCTTTGGGATCTAGACCACTGTCTGCTGATTGTAGATCAGAGTACATTAGAGTCCCTGAGTAGTACAAATGGTTAGTACACTCAGTTGCTAACCAAAAGGTTAGAGGTTCGAGTCTAGCCACAATTGCCTCAGAAGAAAGTCCTGGCAATCTCCTTCCAAGAAATGAGTCATTGGTAACCCTATGGAACACAGTTATTCTGACACACATGGGGGCACCATGAGTTAGAATCAATTTAACAGCAACTTATTTTTCAAATTTTAATACAAGCATTGGCTGAATTAAAGTTATATGTGGACGTTATAAGTTCTTTACTTATGGTTCAGTAGAGTACTGCCATTTACATGAGTAAATAATAATTAGTATTGATAGGGTCAAAAGGGACTAAAAATAGATTTAAAGTGTTCATGACAGTCCCAGGAGCTGAGAGCAATTATTTTCTCCTATTCTATTAAAAATACAAATGCCAGAGCCTAATTCTTCTGTCTGATGTTAATCATTGCTCATCAAGTCCAAAGAAAATTTCCCTGAAAATAACTGTAGGCTGTTAGTCCACCTTGTCTGTTCCAGGACAACACAAAGATTCCTCCAGTCTTCTCACTGGATGATAATAGTAAATATCTGGTTTTACTTCATTAAATACAACAGTTAACTGTGGGTATTCAATTAAAACACCCAGGGGATTTGTATCTTCAGTATGAATGCCAGTACTCTGTGAAATAAACAATGGAGGAATCACATTTTAAGCATCCACTCCACTGTGCATTTGAAAAATGTTTAACATTCCCTTAGGATTCTGAATTTATATTTTCAACCTGGTGTAAGATGTCCCAATTAAATTTACTTCTCAATATTTTTAAATGGTAAAATTTAACCTTGATTTATTTGTAAATTGTGAAAAGTAATCTAAATTATTGAACAGTATCATTAATATGCCATGCAAGTAAAATCTTACTGAAGATAATTAAAAAATGGTTGCAGCAATATATTGACAGAGAACTTCCAGAGGTGCAAGCTGAATTCAGAAGAGGATATGGAACAAGGGCTATCATTGCTGATGTCAGATGGATCTTAGCTCAAAGCAAAGAATACCAGAAAGATGTTTCAAACCAAACCAAACGCACTGCCATAGAGTCAGATCTGACTCATAGCGACCCCTCCTTGGGTATCTGAGGAAGTATCACTATGGAAGTAGATTGCCCAACCTTCCTTCTGAGGAGTGGCTGGTGGGTTTGAACTGTCAGCCTTCTGGTTAGCAGTCAAATGTCTTACACACTATGCCAAAGATGTTTACTTGTGTTTTATTGACTATGCAAAAGCATTTGATTGTGTGCATCATAACAAATTGTGGATAACATTGAGAACAACAGAATTCTAGAACACTTAATTGTACTCATGAGGGAGCTATACATAGACCAGAGGCTGTCATTCGAACAGAACAAGGGGACACTGCATGGTTTAAAATCAAGAAGGAAGTGCATCTGAGTTGTATTCTTTCACCATACTTATTCAATCTGTATGCTGAGCAAATAATCCGAGAAGCTAGACTATAAGAAGAAGAACATGGCATCAAGATTGGAGGAAGAATCATTAATAACCTGTGATATGCTGATGACAAAACTTTGCTTGCTGAAAGTGAGGATGACTTGCAGCACTTACTGATGAAGATTGAAGAATACAGTCTACAGTATGGATTACATCTTAATATAAAGAAAACAAAAATCTTCACAACTGGGCCTATAAGCAGCATTGCAATAAGCGGAGAAAGGACTGAAGTTGTTAAAGACTTCACAGTGCTTGACTCTACAATTGACACCAATGGAAGCAGCAGTCAGGACATCAGATGATGTGTATCACTAGGCAACTCAGCTGCAAAGGACCTCTTTCAAGTGCTGAGGAGCAAAGATGCCTCCTTGAGGACTAAGGTGTACCTGACACAAGCCTTGATATTTTCAATTGCCTCATATGCATGTGAGAGCTAGACAATGAATAAGGAAGACCAAAGAATAATTGATGCTTTTGAGTTGTGGTAATGTTGAAGAATGCTGAAAGTACCATGGACTGCTAAAGGAACAAACAAATCTGTACTGAAAGAAGTGCAGCCAGAATGCTTGTTGGAAGCGAGAATGGCCAGACTTCATCTCACCTACTTTGGTCATGTTGTCAGAAGGCACCATTCTCTGGAGAAGGATGTCATGCTTGATAAGATGGAGGGTCAACAAAAGAGGGGAAGGCTCTCAACGAGATGGATTGACACAGTGGCTGCTATCATGGGCTCAAGTATAGCAAGGATCGTGGAGCTGGTGCTGGACTAGGCGATGTTTCATTCTGCTGTGCATGAGGTCGCTATGAGTTGGAGACTACTCGATGGGACCTAACAACAACTATCTATTGCTAAAATTACCTTCTAAGAAGCATGCCCTATGTTTTAAACTATCATTGTTAAGATCAGTAGGACTTAATGAAAAACAGTGCTGTGCACAGGTAACAAAACATAGTTTTAGAAGCCCAAGAAAACCAAACCAAACTCACTGCCATGGAGTCAGATCTGACTCATAGCGACCCCTCCTTGGGTTTCCAAAGTGGTATCTCTATGGAAGTAGATTGCCCAACCTTCTTTCTGAGGAGTGGCTGGTGGGTTTGAACCACCAGCCTTCTGGTTAGCAAAAAAAAAAAACAAAAAAAAAAACATAGGCACTATGCCACCAGAGCTCCCTTTGGAAGCCCAGTTCTCCTTACATGCTTTTATTTCATTTAAAACTGTTTAAAATATAAATAGAGATAATTTCTTCTTAGAATCGTTGATATTTCCTTCATACGTTTCAGAGTATGAGAGGAAAAGTCCCCTTGTCATGGAATGGATTTTTTCAGGATTGTGGTATTCATATTGTTCTACTGAGTAAGAAGATAATTCAATATATTTTACAAAAGCAATACCTTGATGTGGTAAAACAAAACTATATGCATCTTATTATTTATTTTTACACTTAATTAATAACATTGCATCATGCTTTCCATATAATTAACCAACATTTGCATTGAGTTTGTTTTAAAGAATCTGTGTCCTTTTTAATTCTCTACCTATATGACTCGACGGCATATAAAAACAACAACAAGAACAATATTATAAATAAGGAGCACAGGTGGTGCAGTGGTTAAGTGCTGGGCTGCTAATCAAAAGGTTGTCAGTTTGAACCCACCAGCCACTCTGCAGGAGAAATATGGGTCAGTCTTCTTCCAAAAACATTACAGCCTTGGAAACCCTAAAGGGCATTTCTACCCTGTTCTATAGGGTAACGGTAAAGTGCAATCAGCTTGATGGCAATGGTATATCGCAAATCACCAAATTAATCAAAGAAATATGAGATTTCACAAGCTTAGTTTAATACATGCCTGGATCATTGTAAGAGAATGCTCCACTCAAGTTTCAATTTCTGTGAACATGCCACTAAGAAACTTCTGATAAAGCTGTACTGCCATTATAAAAGCAAGCATAATATTCAGTAGAATGTTGTTTGTTTTATGTGCCATTGAGTCAGACCAGACTCATAACGACCCCTCCCTGGGTTTCTGAGGCAGTATCACTACGGAATTAGATTGCCTAAACCCAAGGAGGGTCGCTATGAGTCGGTGCCGACTCGATGGCAAATAAGAACAACAACAACCACCTTCCTTCCAAGGAGTGGCTGGTGGGTTTGAACCACCTTCTAGTTGAACCAGCCTTCTACTTAGCAGTTAAGTGCCTTAGGCACTATGCTACCAAAGAATATGTTTAGATAACAGCTATATCATTCCAAACTGCTGATAATGTACATCTCAATGAGGCACTAATGTCAAATAAACTTAATATTTACTCATCTGAAAAATGGAGATGGAAACCATTTTCTATAAAGAAATTGATTTTTATGATAAAGTAAAAAGTGTCAATAGTGAATATTTAAAATGTACTAGCATTTATGTTCACTAACTACAATATTAACCCCCCCAAAAAACCATTAGATAATTGAATTTAACTCTTAAAATCAAAAAGCAGTGATCTGCCACCTGTGAAAAACTGCAAAAAAAACTAAATTACTCATCCTCATTTTGATTTACTAGCAAGATAAACATCACTATGCCTGTGATATTCATATTAAAAAAATAAAACAAATCAAAATCACTTCATTGAATCAATTCTGACTCACAGTGACCCTATAGGATGGAGTAGAACTGCCCCATAGGGTTTGCAAGGCTGTGAATCTGTACAGAAGCAGATTGCCTCATTGTTCTTCTGTAGAGCAGCTGATAGATATGAACCTCCAAGCTTTTGGTTAGCAGCCAAATGTCTTAACCTCTATGTATAATAAAAATAAAAATATATAATCAAAGAAGGATAACTAAATTTCCTCATACATTTATATTGCTTTTACAGTTAATTTTCATAGATTCTCTGGTACTTTGGCCCCTCATATTGGACAGGTTGACCATTAGGTCCTACTTCATATATACATTAAAAAATATAAGAAACACACTAAAAATGGTACCAGACTAGAGGATATGGATACATTATTGGGCTCACTGACAAATTACTAAACTAAATGAGTAAATAAATAAAAACTCTAAAATTCTATTTTATGTAAAAGAGAACAAAGGTTTGCCATCAACAGGAGCTCTGGCGGCATAGTGCCTAAAGCATTTGACTGATAATTAGAAGCCTG